GATCGAACCTGGGCCGCACGCATGCCAGGCGAGCGCACTACCGTTTGAGCCACATCCCCAGCCCCTGGAAACAAGATTTTTTTTAACTCTTCCTCCAAGCTTCTGGGCAATTTTAATTGTAGAATCTTTTAATATTGCCAAATTAGCTATTTTTTTTAATTGTTGCCATTTGTAGTAGCTTATCTATGGTAATTAGAATGAGTCAATACTATAAAAGCAAAACAAAATATAGAAACTGGTTTATTAATAAAGACAATTTAAAATTGCACTTTTCACCAGTATTCTTAATTTAATATTTTTATCAATCAAAACAGCCCATTCTTATTAATGGATTTTATGAATAATGACATAATTTGATCTTATAAAATGAACAAATATCTATTTGGTTATATGATTGATGCTCCATTTAGATTTCATTTAACAGTAGAGGCTACTGATAGAGTGATCTGGCCCAATCTATTAATTTTACAAATTAAAAATTTTACCAGGGGCTGGAGTTGTAGCTCAGTGGTAGAGTGCTTGCCTAGCACATGTGAAGCACTGGGTTCAATCCTCAGCACCACATAAAAATAAATAAATAAAATAAAGGTATTGCATCCATCTACAACTAAAAATATATTTAAAAAAAAAAGAATGTAACCATTTGACCCATAGAACTTAAAATCAGCATACTACAGTGATACAGCCACATCAATGTCTATAGCAACTCAATTCACAGTAGCTTAACTATGGAACCAACCTAGATGCTGTTCAACAGATTAATGGATAAAGAAAATGTGATATACATATATACACAATGGAATATTACTCAGCCTTAAACAAAAATGAAATCATGGCATTTGCAGGTAAATGGATGGCGTTGGAGAATATCTTGCTAAGCAAAATAAGCCAATCCCCAAAAAACCAAAGGCCAAATGTTTTCTCTGATATGTGGATAGTGATCCATATTGGGAATGGAGCAGCTGGCTAAGAATGGAGGCACTTTGGATTGGGCTGAAGAGAGGAGAGATGGTGGGGATTCGAAGGATGGTGGAATGAGACAGACATTATTGCACTATGTACATGTATGATTGCATAAACAGTGTGACTGCATAGTGGATATATATTTGGAAAAGAAATAAGAAGTTGTGCTCCATTTGTGTAGAATTGAAATGCATTATGCTGTCACATATAACTAATTAGAACAAAAAAACTTTAGAAATAAATTTTTTAAAAAATAATTTACAACTCAGTTTAAGTGTCTTGCTTAAAGTTATGTAACTAGAAAAACCACAGATAAAATCTTTCTAACCCTGAGTTCACCGTTGTTTCTGTTTTGTTACATTATCTAGGTTCCTGGGATACATCTAGTTTTTGCCATGACATTTAGCATTTAATGACATGATTTAAATACAGGCATTTATTTATTTATTCAAAAAGTCATTTTGTGGGTACCACGCACTCTTCTAGGCACAGGAGACATACTCTGAATCTGGAAATTGTGCTGAAAATAAAATAAGAAAAATAGTTTCTAGTCAAATCTCCATTCAATGTTGGGTAGATATATATTTGGAATTATCTACCTTGTATGTGTTTGTATACCACTTGCTATTTTTTGACATATCATTAATAATAACTTTTCTATCTGTGGTTTTATTTTAGAAAAGCTAAAAATGTTCTTTAGTATTTTGAAAGACAAGAAAAATGAATTCAACAGAAGGCATGTTATTTGTATGCCATATACCTAATAATATGTTTAGTAACCAAAAACACAAATGAAACAAGGAATGTGTGTAGATTAAAATGGAGTGTGGCAAGTGTAAGCAGTGCTGTAGGCTGAAAGACGAATGTATGAGTAACTCAGATGAACAAAAAGTTCATTATCCAAAGTACATATATGAAGACACAAATTGGTGTCAATATACTTTATATATACAACCAAAGATATGAAAAAATCAATTTAAAAAATGAAATGAAATTAAGTTTAAAAAAAAAGTTGCTCTGAGAAAGTGAAAAAAATCTTTGTATGCCCAGGGAATAATACATGCATAAGCATAGCCTTGTGAGCAGCACAGACATTTCCAAAAACTTTTAAAAGTTTAGTGCAGCAGGATGCTATGTGTTCTTGGGAGGAGTGATGTGTGAGAATTTCTAGGCATAAGCAGCTAGTTGGAGAATCGAAGTAATTAAAGTGAGAACTTCTTATTTTATGCCTGAGGTAATCGTTATGCTTCTACCTTATTTCTATTCCTTAGTGCAAGTTCTTTTAGACAAGCACTTAGTTTGTATTTCTCTATATTATGGTGACTAGCTGAGTCAGGCTCAGTATATACTTACTGATTAGCTGTGCTCTTTATCCACTCAACAAATGTTTTTGACTCCAACATACATGAGGTTCTCTATGTGCCATGGGAAGAAAAAACTTGTGATTCAAAACCAGCCTTTCAAAGAGCTATTGAACTCAGGTCAAGAAATACAAGGAGTTTTTGTTGTTGTTGTTTGTTTGTTGTTGTTGTTGTTGTTGTTGTTGTTATATTGACTACTGTATCCATACTACATAGTAATAAATACTAAGGAGAAAAAAAAATGTATGTAAGAGTAAAATATAAATTATCAAGCCTAGAAAGAGAAAGTAGTTACTTTATTTTGTCTTGCCTTAATTTCCTCAACACTAGAACAGAAAAAATAAAGTTTCCTATCATATACTGTTGTAGTAAAGATTAAATAAGTTAACATATGTATGTATAGAGTGCTCAGTGCAGTTCCTAGGAGATGATGACTTGACTATCATTTACATATTTGGCTAAAATACCTTCAGCACCACAGTCTTCTTTTCATCATTTACCGACTTCTGTTAAATCATGTACTTTCCAGTAGTTTAAACTACTTCATCTAATATTCCCTTTACCCATGTATTGCTCCTTTTGGCTTTTGTCTCCAATATACACTCAAATCTGATATTCCTTTCTCACCAAAATTAACCAATCATTCTTTGATATTACTTTTTCTCAATGACAATATTTGCTTCTGTAGATATTAGGACATCATTTTTTATTTTAGGCATACAGCAGACATCCACATCTTCCTATGGAAAATATTCATTAATTAATACCTCATCACTTATCACATTTCAAGGTTAAAAAGTCTAAAAAAATGAGATCTTTATGTTTGCTTACCAACTAAAAATGAGTACGATATTGGAAGTGTTGTTAACAGACAAAAATGTAAAATCTGTAATATTAGTCTTTTAGAAGAGAGATTGTTTGCATAGATTAGGTGAAATTTCAGGTCTCCTACTAACCTTTCTTTGTCTATTTAACCTCTGTGCATCCCTAGATATATTCTTTCCTTACTGCTGCCCCCATCCATGAAAACCAGATTAACTGTGCTCATTTAGTATTCCATGCTTAATCTGTACCATAGCCGGGATCATTTGATATTACCTGACTGCTGCACTCCCCACTCTCACTGTCAGGCAGTTGTCTGCTTGAGATGGGGACCATGTTGGCTTCATGTTTGAGTTCACCATGTTTATCTTAGTGCTTCACATATAGATAAATATGTAATACATTAAATATAATTCCGGAATACCTTTTACTTCACAGGTCAGTGATTTGGGGTTTTGGGGGAGGGGTTTTTTGTGGGGTTTTTTTGGGGGGGGGTGGGTTTGGGGTTTTTTTGTTTTTATTTTTGTTGTTTGTTTTGTTGTTGTTTTATTTGTTTTGTGTGTGTGTGTGTGTGTGTGTGTGCTGGGGATTGAACCCAGGGCCTTGTGCATGTGAGGCAAGAACTCTACCAACTGAGCTATATCCCCAACCCCCCAGCCCCAACCTAGAAACATGGTCATTTAGCCTTGGCTGCACGACCCTTAATTTGCTTCTTTGCCTCTCTTTCTAAGGAACAGCACTGTCTAATCATATTGCCACATCCCATTCTACACATTACCTTAACCTGGGTGATGATGTTATCAGAGGAAGGTGGCCCTAAAGCAAACAAACACACTAAAAACTAAAAAACGAACAAACAACAACAACAACAACAAAAAACGGTAGTCTGGCCCTCAGGGAAAATCTCAAAGGTGGTAGGCACCCTGTGGAGTAACTGTGGTACAGGTTTTGATCCTAAACTCTTCCAAGTTAAAAACTTGATTTTGCTATTTACTGTCAAGAGTAGTGGGCCTCTGGGATCTAACAAAGACCATCTATATTTACAAAAGCTTTTTTTAAAAATTAATTTCTATACCAGGTGACCTATTTATATATGTATGTTTGTTTTTAGTGACTAATACTTGTACCTGCTATCCAGGTTGTTAACTAAATTATATATCACAGTGCCTATGAAATCTATCACATAATTAGAAGATTGTTCAGTAGCTATGGAAAAAGAGAAATAAGTTAAATGATTATAAGGATTATTTTACCCAGGCTGCAGAAGACTTGTCGAACAGCATAGTTTATCAATGTCTCCCTGAAGGCTAGAAGAAAATAAAGCAAGCAGTTATGAGGTCTCAAGTACACCTTTGAAAGACCTTATGAAAAATGTTCTTAATTGCTAAAAGAAAACAATGTTGTAAATCCTGGGAGTGGTGAGTAGGAGAGGTAATCAGTGGCATTTTATATATCTTATTAAGAATAAATTATATAGTTTGGTTCCAAAATTCTTTGATCTCAAGATTAGTTCCTAAGATAATGGTAATGTGATATTGTCAACAATGATGCTAAGAAAGAAAGGTAGAGGACTAAAGTGAAATGGAAGGTCTCATATTATTTACATCCTCTAACTCAAGAATCACCAGTCTTGGGGCAAACTCACTTTTACTAGGAAAGTTGTCTGGATGCTTATGGTTTTAGCTAGCTTACTGGTGTTTTTATATGTACTAATAATGCATGATAATCTACCAAGTATTCATTTACAAAAGAAACTGAGATGTAGGCTAAATGATCAGTAAAAATGAGTTGTACCTCTTGTCGAGAGCTACAGTGAGTCCTTCAACCCTTATTTCAAGGTCCTTTCTATTCCAGAGGTTGGAAACCCAAATGCCTACAGAGGCCAGACTGGTGGGAATGAAGCAGGAAGCCACTGCACTGAACTGGAGAGCCAAGTCCTTTCTGGAGGAGCAGCCACTGCTCCGTTCCAGATAATTGTTGCAAGGCAGGAATGTTGACCTAGTGTTACCACATTGTCCAGTTTCTCAGGTAAAGCAGGAAATGCAAATTTTCATGTGAATCTTTTGATATAACTATTGTCAATTAATTATTATTTACGAACCATGTAAAAGGAAAGCACTTCTTTATGTGGAATTTAGCCCAGCATTCTTTTTATAACTGATCTTATATTTTGCTTAATTATTTGTTAAATTAGAAATTTTATTTTTACTGGTTTTGCTTTTTTTAATATATCATCTCTAAAATATTCTATGCTTCATTTTGTCAGAGTGAAATTCCCTAGCTCTTGTACCTGTATTTATCAGTTTTCTTTCGCTGCTACATTTTTCCTGCCATTCTCAGCATTCCAGCAAGCTGTCAGTTACATGCTAAATGAAGTCCCTATGCGGCACTACATATGATGCTGTTAAACATCTGTGGGTATTGCTGCCTACTCGTTTTGTTCCTGATGTGTGAGCTACAAAAACACAATAAAAAATCATTTATTTCATGGAGCTTGTGAGCTCTGTGGGCCTCCCCCCTTTCTAAAAGCCACACAGAATGGTCTTCCTCATCTTGTTTCTTGAGAGAACTTATCAGACATTTTATTTAAACTATAGTTATCTTTTACATTTAGTTGTTTGGGGGACATTGATTGGACTTGAGTATTCCTAGATACTTATATATATTCAGAGACAATGTTTTTGGATGAATTTCTTCAATGGCTGAGTAATGTCATTTTCACTTTAAGAATAACCTAGTTGGGCATGATGGCATATGCCTATAATCCTGGCTATTCAGAAGGATGATGCAGAATGATCCCAAGTTCAAGGTCAGCCTTGGCATTAGCAAGTATCTGTCTCAAAATAAAAAGGGTGTGTAAAGTGCCTGGGCTCAATCCTACCATACAGAGAGAGAGAGAGAATATATAACCTGGTTTTCACTCAAAATGGATTCAAGACTTGAAACTATGAAATACTAGAAGAAAACATAAGGGAGATGCTTTATAAATTGACCAGGGAAAGGTTTTCTTTTTTTTTTTTTTTTTTTTTTTTTTTGTATTTTTTTTAAGATCTTAAAAGCACAGTCAGCAAAAGCAAAAAAGAACAATGCTCTGAGTTAATCTAAGAAGCTTCTACATAGCAAAGTAAGCAACAGAGTGAAAAGACACCTACAGAAAGGAAGAAAATATTTGTAAACTATACATTTGACAAGGGGTTAATATTAAAAATGTATATAGACTTGACTCAATGGGAGAAAAAGGAAAAACAAATAACCCAAAAGATCTGGAAAGACATACAAATGGCCAACAAATATGTGAAAAGATGTTAAACATCACTATTCATCAGGGAAATGCAAATTAAAATAAAAGAGACATCATCTCACTCCAGTTAAGGGTGTCGATTATCCAACAAAAAAAAAAAAAGTCACAAGTGCTGGTACAGTCATGGAGAAGAGAAACTCACATACTGTTGCTAAAGTTAGTACAACCATTTTGGAAACCAAGTATGGAGGTTCCTCAGAAAACTAGAAATAGAAACTTCCATAAGAACCAGTAGTGCTACTACTGGTAATGTATCCAAAGGAAATAAAATTAGTATGTTGAAGAGGCCTCTGCACTTCCATATTTATTGCAGCACTATTCACAATAGCTAAGACATGGAATCAAAGTAAGTATCAACAGATGAATAAATAAGATAGATACATAGGTAGGTAGATAGAGGAAAGATATAATACAATACTATTTGGCCATTAAAAAGAATGAAATCCTGTCATTTACAACATCATGAATGAACATGCAGAGTATTATGTTAAGTGAAATAAGTTAGGCACAGAAAGACAATTAATGCATGATCTCTCTTTTGTGGAATCTAAAAAAGTTGATTGATCTCATAAAAGTAAAAAGTGTAATGGTACTTGCCAAAGGCTGGGTGGCTAATTCTACAGGGAGTAGACATTGGCTTACTATATGTAATTATAGTTACATAGGAGGAATAAATTTCAAGAGATCTTTTGTACAGAAAAGTGACAATAGTTAATGATTATATCTTGTATTTTTAACAATGTTAAGAGAGTGGATATTATATGCTCTCACCATAAAAATTATAGCTACATGAGGTGATACATTTGTTAATTAGCTAAATCTAATAATACTGCAATTTATATGTACTTCAGAATATCATGTGGCACAAGATAAAAACATACAATGGTATACACAAGTTTTAAAATAAATAAAAATTTTGAAAGAGTTGCCTGAATCTAGGGATAGGCTTAGTATAAAGTACTTGCCTAGTGTTCATGAAAAACCCTGTGTTCTGTCTCCAACCTCACACACACAGAAAAGAGTAACCTTATTTTCAAGGTTATTGGGGGACTCATTAACTCTGTTTGGTACTGTTTGCTCCATGTAGGAACTTAATCCACTCTCAAATTAATTGAAAAATGCTAAATATTTCTATAGTAAAATAATATACATATCGGTTATTTTGGAATATTACAAATATAAGCATAATTTGTTGTTATTCTCACAGCACAGTTTTAGGAAAAATCAATATTGATGTACATCAGTTTTCAACAATGATTTGACCTGTGTATTTTAAGTTGCATCTTAAGTGACTAAAATACTACTAATGCAATAATAAATGGTGAAAATTACCATTTAAACCTGCTGAGTTTACTCTTAAATATATTATGTAAATGCAGACAAGTTTTTTAATCAATATTCTCCATGAGAAACCTAATATTATAGAAAAGCAAATAAATAACATTCTATGCTGAAAACTAATATGCAGAGATATATCATAATAATTTTTTCCTTCTGAATTATAGTAAGTTTGTCAATTATTTTATAAATATTCTAAGGCAACAGAATATTCTTTAAAATTATTCTCTAAATTTTTTTAATCATATGTATTTGAGAGCTGATGACTGCTCACCTTTTTACTTTTAAGAGAGAAAGTTTTCTACATATGCATTCATAACCTCCCTTTCCACATCTTTTCATATTTCAAAGGTAGAAAGGGAAGATTTAACTTGAAGCTCTCTTGTTTCCACCACTTTTTCTTTGTAGTCATGTAGGATGCCAAGGGCAAAGAAAAGTTCAGTTATAGGGAGTAATTCATGAGGAGGAAAGAAGTGGGTATTTTAAGAGAATTACAAAGGGAACCTAAGTGGGACTTGAAAACTCAAATATATTTGAGTTTGGAGAAATTAAGGAAGACCTGTGAGTGACATTTAAACTAAAATAAATAGGAACTAGTTTAATGAAAAACAAGAAGATAGGAATAGAAGATGCTATTCTAAACTGACAAATAGGAGTGAGCCTGGAGGCATTTTAGAACCAAAGTGACAGCCTTAATTTTTCTTTGTAGTATTTAAGTTATTCAGGTTAGTGCAATGTCCTCTCTGATTCTGCGTATATTCTCTCCACTTGATTAAACATTATTCTCTTTTTTTTTTTAGTTGTAGGTGGACACAATACCTTTATTTTATTTATTTATTTTTATGTGGTGCTGAGGATCAAACCCAAAAATACTATAAAATAATTGTGGAATATTATTGTGGAACCTTAGAATATTTATAAAATAATTGATGAGCTTACTAATTCAGAAGGAAGAAATTATTTATGATAAATCTCTGTGTATTAGTCCTCAGCATAAGTATGTTATTTATTTGCTTTTCTATAATACTTCTATGATTTTCTCATGGAGAATATCAATAAAAAATACTTGTCTGCATTTACATAATCTATTTAAAAGTAAACGAAGCAAGTTTAAAGGGTAATTTTTACCATTTATTCTTGCATTAGTAGTAGGCTAGTGCTCTACCACTGAGCTACGACCCCAGCCACACAAACATTATTCTTATTTCTAGTAAAAGTTTCCTTAATGCTCTTAAGGATTAAGAAAACAATTAGCTAATCTACAGATAACAACACTTAAATTTATGGAAATAACATTTTTCCTGATTGCAGACCTAATGCTTATTTACTGTAGAAAATTTTGCAAGTACAGAAAAGCAACAAAGAAAATATGTTTTTTCTAAAGAACTTAACAGTGGTAACTGGGCGAATAATGCTATTCTATTCCTATATTTACATATGGAGTAACACTTTGTAATTTAAGTTTTATCATTGTATATATGGCTTTGTAGTATGTTTTTTCCACCTAAAAATATCATGGTCCTTTCCCAGTGCTGCAAAATTTTCTATAACATGATTTTAATAGCTTATTCATAATAATTTGGATATTTACTATGTCTTAGGTACATATAATTAATTTTTTTTTCACAGAACAATCATATAACGTTATATTCTCTTTTGCCCAAGGTCACAAGCTCATAAAGGGTAGTGCCAGTGTTCACATACAGACAGTCTGACTCTGGAGCTTATACTCTTAACCAGTAATGCTACGAGCCTTTCAATACTATAATTAAAGTCTATTTTAGACTTTCATATTATTTCCAGTTTGGGTTTTGGCTATGTGAAATAATACTTAACAATTCTGTGAGTTGGCAATTTAGTCTGGACTCATTTGGGCCAGCTCATCCTTATTCCACATGATGGTACCTAGGCTCATTTTCATGTCTTGGACCCCACTGCCCTGGATGGGCAGCTAGACTTCTGTCTATACACGTAGTCTTTCATTCTAAAGTAAGCTAGTTCGGGTTGTTTACATGACAATGGCCTTCCAAGAAACCAGAGTGGAAGATGCAAAACACTCCTCCTTATAAGTAAACTTCCTCCCTAGAGGGAGGAATGTAGGCCAAGGTGCTTCTTAACCTTGACTCTGAGGATTGGCCTAACTCTTGGGACCCTGTCCCTATACTTCAAAGTTTGTGAAAAATGTAGCCTTCCAACTTGAATTCAATCTCTTATTCACTAATTGTGAACTTTTATACCCTTCTATACTAAAAGTACAAGAACATCTGAAACTGAAATACTTTAGTTGTTAGGGCAGGAAAGATATGCTTATTGAACATATCCTGATACAATTGTGTTAAACAAAATATAAGTATACAGATATAGTTTGAATGAGTTAAGTAGAGGCAGG